CGTGCAAAAAAATTGGTATATGTTTTGGTGTCTAGCAGGTCAGTCACGGCGGCCGTGCTACCTATCTACCTACCTACTGAGTTCAGAACGCGATATTCGAGAAAAAAAAAGGAACCTTCGACGCATGCATTTCGATGCCTGAATATAGTAACACCTACTCGACGGTGGTCGAGTAAATGTAGAGGGGAACGCGAATAAGTCATCAACTGGGATTGCAGAAGTGTCGAAAAGGGATAAAACTGGAATTTTAGAAAAAAACGGCAAAAAACGACGCGATGCATATATTTAGCGTTACCTACTCTCGTTTCCGCCCCGGGACTCGTATCTGCAAAAGTACGGCCGCGTGCCGGCTGTAAATTTAGCGGGGAACGCGAATCAGATCCAAACGGGGAGGGCGATACGACCGAAACGGGCTAAAACTCGAATTTTTGAAAAAAACTGCAAAAATAAGAAAATCGAACTCTTCGACGCATATATTCACGCCCGTGTATAGTAATAAATAGTATCAAGGACTGCTTTGACGGGGAACGCGAATAAGTCTTCGAAGTCCGTAGAGGCGGTAAAATTCGAATTTAAAAAAAAAACCGAAAATTTTCGTTAAATACGATAAGACGGAAGTGATAGCGAAACGACGAAAAAAAAAAAAAGTGAAAAAAAATTCAGATTTAACACGGCCGCCGCAAATTATCGAAAATCCCGGGGGCCGGGTTCGAAACCACAGCCCTCGAGTCCCCTGTCCTAACGCCTAACCAACCTAGCCACCTACTGAGATGAAATTCATAGTCAATTGTATGACTCTTAAGCCACGTCACCGTGCACGCGTATACCCTATCGGTGTGGCGGTGCGGATTTAACTGTCCCTATCGGGGGACCCGAACTCCTCCCCTGGGGGTGATAGGGGGTCCGGGTTTGCGGGGGCTGGTCGGCGCCCTCGAGAGCCGCTAGGGTAGCGTCGAGGGGGCAAAATTTTTTTCCCGGAACTCTAGGAGCAACCGTTGGGGAGTTACGGCCGAAAAACCGTGGGGACCGTAGGGGGTCTTCTGGCTGGACTTTAAAAAGCGATAAGGAGGAGTGATAACGCCGCCGCGATTTCCCGCCATCCGTTCCATTGTTCACTATAGCAGTTCGGATTTAACACATAGGCGGCGCCACTCGTGTTTCTGTTTTAAAGATTTAGATTATAACCCATAATATTATTATTATTAGTTATTATTGTTTAGTTCGTTAGTGAAAAAACATAATATACTTGCGCTTATACGGTTTTATTTTCATAATATGTCACCAAAAAAATTGCGTGCTATTTTAACGAATCAATCTAGACGATCGGGTAAAATGTCTTTAAAAAGACGAATGAAAGGAGTTCGTAATGGTAATAAGAATTGTAAAATTGTGAGGTAAGTAATAAGTACCTAATACTGAATATTATCACCGAATTTATGACTGTATTATAATACTTATTCATTATTTTTTTCTTATCGAATTAAAAAAATAAAAAAAAATAGTGAGGATATCAATAAGCAGACAAAAAATGTATTTTTTGAATCGTCCACAACTGAAGCTGCAGATGGATCACTTCCAGGACCATCATTTGAAGTATACAATACTCCAATGTATGATGATTTATTTGGTGAGCAATCAACAAATATTATTGCTGATTCTCCTATATTAGAACCAGATGATAAATCTCTTCCAGGATTGTCGTTTGAAATAACTAATACTCCTGAGTATGTAATATTTAGTATGAAATCTGTTTTAACAAATACTGATTTATAACTAATTATCATTTGTATATATTAATAGTTATAGAACAACAACAGAAGTATGTTCTTTAGGTCGTCGAATAGTGGACATATTCTACATATTTGAACAAATTAAAAAATGTATCCACGAAGGCGGTTTCGGATGTACTTTCATGGATATGGAGTTTGTACGTGAAATACGTTTTGGTCTAAGGTCGCAATTTCAATTCACATGTAAAATGTGTAAAATTAACATCAAAATTGAGTCTGAAAAAAAGGTCCCAGAGACATATTTACCTGTAAATTTAGCCGCGATCAGTGGTTCAATATCAATCGGAATAGGATATTCACAACTTGAGGAAATATTAGCTTCCACCGATATTCCATGTATGAGTAGTAGTACATTTTTATCTAGTCAAGAAGAAATCGGTGACAAAATTCATTGTATTGCCCAAGAAGCAATGAGATTAGCCGGTGAAGAAGAAAGGCGATTAGCGATAGATGCAAATGAATTAGATATAGATGGTATACCCATGTGCACAGTTGTAGCTGACGGTCAGTGGTCAAAACGTAGCTACAAAACTAAGTATGATGCTTTGTCCGGCGTGGTAAATACAATAATTCTACAGTTATACACTTATACCTACTTTTAATAAAAAATAATTCAAAAGTAATTTATTTTAAAGTAATTACCTACTATTGTGTTTTTACAATTTGCAGGCTACAATAATTGGATATAAAACCAAAAAAATCTTATTTATTGGTATAAGAAATAGATATTGTTTAATTTGTCAAAGATCGAAAAATTCAAAAAAATCAGTTCCGAAACACACTTGTTTTTTAAATTGGAACAATGCTTCAACAGCGATGGAGGCTGATGCTGTTGCCGAAGGGTTCAAACGAAGCATTGAATTACATGGCTTAAAATTTAATAAATTAATTGGTATCTTATTAAGAAATCTACTTATCTACTTATAAAAACTATTTGAAAGTGATAATAATTAATAGAATTAACTAATATTATTTTTTACAGGTGATGGTGACTCTAGTGTCAGCAAAAGATTGTTGGAAATGAGACCGTATGGTCCTAATTTCCACATTGAAAAAAATTGAATGTAGAAACCATTTACTAAGGAATTATGGTACAAAACTGGCTGCTATTGTTAAAAATAGTAAATTCCCAATACCATTGCGAAACCATATTACAAATAATGCAAAGCGATTTAGATCTGCTATCACTAAAGCCATAGACTATCGGAGTTCATTGAGTAATCAAACGAAACATCAAAAAGTCTCCGGTGAGTAATAACAATATTGATTTATATTCTTATATTTGTATAAGTTAAACGATACAGCCGATAAAAGGAAATTTTAATTGCATCGAAATATAAACTCGTCACAAACTAACACATATTTTGATATAAATTCGAAAATAAATGGGTGGCTCTGTTATATGTTAGGTTTGAATGAGTAATAAGCAATGGGCACGCCACTGGATTTAAACTTTAAAATGTACTTTGTCACTGTTATGAAAGTGTTAAAATGTTATTCAATGATTGTAGGTATGATATGATTGATATGTCATATGAAAATCGATTGTTAGTGGAGAAAACGGAGGTGTCTGTCTCTTTTTTTAAGGCTATTTTATAATTTATTTATATTATTATTGTTATACGGCAAACATTATACAGGAGAATTTGCCAGTGTTCCAAAAAAAATATTCACTAAACAGTTTAAATTAAAAAAATAATTTGTTTTTCTAATTTGAATAACAGAAGTTTGTATATCCATTTCATTATTGAAAAAAAGATAGGTGTTAGCATGCCTGACGCATGGTGAACAACACATTTACCTTGTATAACTGTATATAGGTACTATATTATAATAATTATTATCCAATTGGCTACCATAAACTTTAAATTGAAGATTAAAGCATTTTTTCTACTCCAAAAAGTGATGATAATCACAAAAGTAAATAAATAACAATATAAGTATATTAGTATACTAATAAGTTATAAGTACATTATAAAAATAATAATACACATATTAGGTACTCGTACTTACTCCATATTGTGTTACCAATTATCTACATTCCTAAATCCTAAGTGATAATTTGTGTTTTACTATAATATAATATTAATATATATTTAATTTTATTCTATATAGGATTACGTAAAGATATTACAAATAGCTTTTGCCATATTATGGGTAGTCATAAGCATTGTGAAAAATATTTTTGTAATGGAAACAAATCAAATGAACTTGATTTGTTAGATGACGCGGAAAAATGTGGCCTAGTAAGAGAAATAAATCAAATAGTGGGACGACTAGTAATGCATACTGAAAGTTTATTGTTAAACGTGGACAATAATGTGTGTGAACAATTCAACAGTATTATAAATAAACACTTGTGTGGAAAACGGATCAATTTTTCATTACGAAATTCGTATAATACAAGAATTGAGTCTGCTGTTGTATCATATAATACTTCAGGTCAATTTTTACGTTCATTACACAAACATGCAGTCAATGAAATTAGTCCTGGTAATTTAGTAAAATGTATATGTTATAAAAACTAGTTACATATTATGCCAATATTGTTATAATTTATAGGTCATGTAGGAAAGAAATTTTTAAAATCCAGAGAAAGGAAAGCAGCAGCACTTAAAAAAAGAAGGCAGTTGTTTCCTAAGAAAAAATTGATTTTGAAAAAATCACGCGGTGCAGATGAACATTACGGCTTAGCTGAACCTCTTCTAGATGAATACTCTTTACATGACATCGAAGAAAAAAAAACATATTTTTTGCATTCTATCACACTGAATGAAAATGCAAGGCAACAGTATCGCACTGTGAGTACATTAGTGTAGTAACTAAAAATGCATGATTTTGAGAAAATCGAGTTTTTAAGTTTTTCATATCTTAAATCACTGATAAAAGAAAAAGTATTTTATTTAAATGTTTGAAACTTTTGTATTATATAATATTATTAATTATATTAAGTGTTTTAAACAAATTTACTGTTTTTAAATACTATTAAACAATGTTTTTTATCAATTAAATAATTTTTTTTTAGTTACTACACTATTGTATTTTAATATTTACTTTAAAATGCCTATTAGAATGTAGAATATAACTTAGTAACTAAAAACATTAACAAAAAAACTCAGTTGTATTTTAAATGAAGTCCTTTTAATTAAAATTATAAAAAATCAAACATTTATGATTATTATACTTAGTGAAATACTTATTAAATAAAAATTAAAAAACCTTAAAATAATTTTTTTTTATAGTTTTTTTTGTAGTATTTTTTTTTGCTGGAGCAACTTTCTTGATGTTTGATTTGATTTGACTACTTGATTTTGGTCTGGTACTTTCTTTATTTTCAGTAGATAATTTGTCATAAAACTCATGATACTGCTCTGGAATTAAGTTGGAATGACATAAAGAAAGTAAATCTTGTTTTTTTGCAATTGATATTTTTGGTGGTTCTGTATAAGCTTGTTTCATAATTATGGTACTTTTTTCAGGGTAAGATTTATTCCGTTTACTGTAACTGCGTATATCAATTGCTTTAAAATCAGGTTGGGAAAAATCTGTCTTATAATGTACAATAAATGGTTTTTCTTTTTTAACATTCACTTCTACAATGTCACCCATCAAAAATTTTTCTCCTTGCTCATTAACATTAAAAATTTGTTCCAAGTTCATTACATAAAGTAGATAGGTCGAAGAAATCTTTTGTATCCATTTCAGTTGTGGTATACGGTTTTCCATTTTTTTTAGCCAATTTAATTATTGAAACCCACTGTGCTGGAATATACACTGGACCACTTTTCAATGCACGTTGCTTTTGTGTCTCAATACGACTGTGCATAGAATCAACTAGCATTTGAGTATGACCATTAGTTAAAAATTTGTGAGTTATCTCTAGTACATCTAAGAACATCACAATATACATATATATATATAAACTGAGTAAATAAACCGGTTTTTATTCTGACCATTACAATTATCAGAATAAAATATTAATTTTTTATCTTTATCTGTTACAAATGTTTCAATAAATTTAATGATACAACTGCCTATTTCTACAGCTCCTCTATTACCAGTACTCTCATTCCATACAAAACAATGCCCTTCTTTAGTGTATGAATTAAAAACTGTAAAATTGTATGTAGAAAGTCTTCTCTTATAATAAAAAGATGATACTTCACCAGATGGTGTTGGCAATACAGCTTGTAGATCATAAAAATATACTCCTATATTATATTTATTAGTGCTTATTGCAGTAGTATCTTTAATAATTTCATTTCTAGCATTTTCTTTGGCCTTAATATGTTTTTCAAATTTGTTTATTAATTTTCTTCAGATTTTGTAGTTGTATTTTTATACTCTTCACAAACAGCACATTGATCTTTCTTAGGATTGAAAAATCCAATACTAAATTCATGATTGAAGATGTCTTTGTAAGTATGTTTTTTCACAGGTTGAAGAATCGAATTATCAGAACAAAAAGTTAAATACATACCATACATTTCAGAAAGTGTTAAGCTACCATCAATAAAATCTCTGGTAGTAATCTATGTTATTTTGAGATGATACACTAATGCACCAGTATTTTGGAACATACTTTTGTGAATTATAGTAATAACTCAAAATAATACACTACTGCATGGATTGAATTTATTTATTTCCTTTAATGTTGTACCATATTATATTGTTTAACGCTTTTAATTTTGCCAGTACGACATAATACACTAGTGCATTGCAAAGAATGCTATTTTTACCATAAGAAAACATGTATAACTCAAAATCGTCATTTTTTGAGTTACTACACTAATGTACTAACAGTGCGAGTTGGAGTTAGAAACAAGAGAACAAGCAGCATGTCAAAAATGGCATATTGAACGAAAAAACCGTCTTACTGCTTCTAACTTTGGCCGAATTTGTAAACGAAGATCAACAACCTCGTGTAAGTCTTTGGTTTATGATTTGTTGTACAGATATTTTTCTTCAGCCGCAACTGAATATGGAAAATCAATGGAATCAATCGCTATACAATGTTTGGAAACTAAATTAGGTCAAAAAGTTTCTTCTTGCGGTCTAATAATTGATCAATCTATTCCATACTTTGCTGCTTCACCAGGTAATACATAGTCTATAACCTTTTATAAATTATAATACATTCATATGTTTAATATAATACAAAGACATTTAATTATAGACATGCACACCTATCAATAATTAAATAAAAAATGTTTACATGGTTTCTTGTCGTTACAAAACAAAATGTAAATAAATGTATATATATCATATATATTTAATTATATTCTGTATCCTTATAATTTTTTTTAATTTTTACTTTTTTTAATGAAAACATACAGTTTTAGTTTTATATTCTAAAGCTGAATATTATTCTTTGTATTTCGGTACTTAAAAATCGAAGTTAAAAGTTCAGATACGTGGATGTGTATAAAAAAAAAGGTGGGCTAATGGGTGTCGCTCTGCTGTACAGTAGGTTACAAGTGGGTCACTGTAATGGATGGTGTTAAATTTGAATTCAATGATATAATATCATTGTACAAGAAAAACGATTCTGAGCGAAGACGGTCAGTCAGCCTATGGTATTACTAAGTAGTAAGAAGTACCTACCTATATTTTGATGATATTATTGTTAATTAAAGTAATTTATATAAAACCTATTTACGTGGAACCTTGTTTTACATTTTCAGTCTTTAGATATAAAAGTTGAACATTTTATAAATTTTTAACTACAAAATAATCATAAAATTTAAAATTTGATAAATTTTGTCATAATTAGAACTTTAAATGTTATTAAAAAATAATTGTACCTGTATTTTTAATATTTTCTACTGCTATTGTAGACATATATCAGGAGCCTTGTATTATATTTTCACGCATTTTCATCCAACAAATAAAATTTTATTCACACTTATTATAGAAAAAAAAAAAAAGAAAAACTGACAATGTCCGTAAACAGCTAAAAAACGAGCTTAATTTTTTTTTTTAATGGCGCTTTTGAAAACTACTGGACAATTTTTACTTTTCAACCCCAGAGTACCAATTAGATTCACTTTCCTATCAGAAAAAAAACTATTGAAGAAAATCTATGCACTTTTACTGTTCTAAAAGAAGATGACAGACACAAAAAAAACACATCATCGTAAAGTCAATACATAATTCATCGCTCCGCTCAGAATCTTAAATATTGTAATATATATATTATATATTTAAAAATGTTATTTTATAACTACTTGAAACCAAGTAAAAAATGTTTTCAAAAAGGTTAACACTTTTTGAAATAATTAGTGTGTCTTACGTTAAATAGATCAGTAGGATACAGTATAGTATATTTTTTATACATTTAGTCATGTATTTACATTTTTAATTAATAGATGGACTGATTGGAGATGACTGTCTGGTCGAAGTTAAATGTCCTTATTATGCTAAAGATTATACAACCATCGTTGATGCTATAAATGACAAAAAAGTATGATATAATTATGTATATTATATCATAAATAAAAATACCAAATTTTAATGTACCTACCTTATGTATAATAAAATCTTACATTTTTCAGATAAAATTTCTTAAAATTAATAAAAAATCTGATGTACCAGAATTAAAGAGAACTCATGATTATTATTATCAAATTCAAGGGCAATTGCATATAAGCAAAAAAATGTATTGTTATTTTGTTGTATTTTCTGAAAATTGGATACACATCGAAAAAATTGTATACAACGATGAATTTTGGCAAAACGAAATGTGCACTAAGTTAACAAAGTCAGTATTCAAAATATTATTATCAAAAAAAAAAATAGTAATAATAATAAAACTATTATTATACTATGATTACAAATAAAACACTATACCTATACACGATTATTGAATAAATTATTTTAAGACAAGTATACCTATAATATACCTATAAAAAGTTTTATATAAATAAGAAATTGTCTAATAATTTTTAAATAATAAATAATTGATTTTAGGTTTTATCTAGACTGTGTGTTACCGGAAATAGTAATACCTCAGTATGGCAAACGATTACTAATTCAAGACATAAAGGATCCAAAAGAAAAAGATATTGTATTATGATTATTTTATTATTATATTTATTTGATGAGTTATAATGGCTATATTAGTATATTACTATTATATTATTATATATTAATATTAATATATGTATTATTATTATTATTATTATTATTATTATAATATTATAATTATGATCTAACTAGTATATTATTTATATATTAGGCCAACATTTGGAATATATATAGTATAATAATTTTATGGATCAGATATGGTGACGGCTTAAATAGTATTTGAATTATTATTTTAATTAGGCAATCGTTTTATAATATGATAAAAGCAAAAAAATAAAATAAAAATTATAACGTAAATATTGTCAATGTCAAATTAATTAAAAAGAGCACTTCATGAAAATAATTTTTCAACAGTTTTATACTGATCATCGATATTTTTACATGGGAATTGGGAGAACGATTGGGAACATACGTTTAGGAACACATTTTTTCAGACGTCATCCAAAATGAATACAACGTTATTCGGGTATATCATATTTTTAAAATAATATCACGTTTGGGTACCAATACGTTTATAGATGTGAACAAAACTCAACTTCCTATATTATTATATGTTTAAAAATAAATAAGTAAATACATCAATACATATAATATCTACTAATCAAAACTATTTGAAACGTTAGGTACTAGGTAGGTAATACGTATAATGTAGGTACCTATTATACCTATAGGTATATGAGATTAAATTATCGTACGAGGTACGATAAGTAGGTACCTACTTCAGGTCACCTATAAGTTATTACTTAAATTTACTGAAAAATCTATTTCATCGTAAATCGTAATGAATTTATTATTTTACATGTACCTACCTATTTCAAAAAGTAATTAGGTTATAATTATATAAATCGAGTTATGTTGTATATGATGGAGTCGGGTTTGTACGAACTACGCTTTGTTTATTAGTCGAAATATTTCATCAAATAACTACTACATAAGCTTTAATTAATAAATAAATTGCGAATTGTCATTGTGGATTAGAAGCAAGCGCGCCGCGTGCCAGTACATGAGAAAATATAAGTAATACAATTTACGCACGCAGGTACGTAATGGTCAACTGCATTGACATCTGACGCGAAACGTTCAAAACGACCGTTCGTGAAATAATAATGTACTTCTTCTGCGATTACGAAGCGTAGACCCAGTCGAGTAGACGATGGGCGTGGTTACGGCCTGCCGCGACGGCGGCGAGACGGCGCACAACGCCATCTCTTGAGCGTTGCATAAGTTTAACTTTTACCACGACGGCCTCTTAACGACCTGTTGGTGAGCGTTTATGTAGAGGTGGAGGAGTAATGTCAATAAATATTGATTATTTGTATTACATATTTTTATATAGGCTTTAGGCTCAGATGTTTTGAATAAATTAATTGCAAATATTCTGGATGGCAAAACAATGTACAGTGATGGAATTAGAAGATTTGCTTTAACACTACATTATTATTCACCAAAAGCGTATGAATATGTGCGAAATTCTTTTTCTAATATCTTACCACATACAAGAACACTGCGTCGTTGGTATACTGTTGTGGATGGAAAGCCTGGTTTCACCCAAGAGTCGTTGGATGCTATTCAGTGTAAAGAGTGAAATCACAACAAGGACCCGTTTACTGTAACATAGTAGTAGACGAAATGTGTGTAAAAAAACATATAGAATTGGACACTTGCCAGAATGTTTATGGTTATGTTAATATGGGTATGGATTATGAACTTGATAATGACGACATACCTCAAGCAAGAAATGCCCTAGTCTTCCTTGTAGTAGGATTGAATGGTTATTGGAAATTGCCAATAGGGTATTTTCTTATTGACTCATTAAATGGTACAGAGCGTAGTAATTTGCTAAAAACTGCTATTGACTTAGTAAAAGATACTGGTGCATACTTGAAATCCGTCACTTTCGATGGAACGAATGTAAATACAACAATGTGTACTTCTTTAGGAGCAAATTTTAACCTTGATTCTAATACTGCATTTTTTTCTTCTAATCATTCTAAAGATGAAAAAGTTTTTTGTTTTTATGACCCATCACACATGATAAAACTTGTTAGAAATGCATTTGGGGATAAAAAAACTATTGTGAATGGAAATGGTCAAAAAATTAGATGGGATTATATACAAAAACTTTACCAAAAAGAGAACTGTGAAGGATTGAGGGCGGCTACAAAATTAACAAACCGACATCTTCATTATTACAATGAAAAAATGAATGTTCGCCTTGCAGCTCAAGTCCCTAGTAACAGCGTATGTGATGCACTTTTGTATTTAAATGGTTCTGACCCAAATTTTGAAGGATCCTTAGCAACAGCTGAATTCTGCCTTATTTTCAACAATGCTTTTGATATTTTGAACTCACGAAAACAGCTGTCAAATAAACCATTTAACAATTCTATTAATGAAAACACATTCGAAAAAAATATAGTGATTTTTTAAAAGATTTTTCTTTTTATGTACAAGGGTTATCTTTTGAGGATGGTACTAAAGTAGTACATTCTCAACGCAAGACTGGTTTTGTTGGAATGATTCTTGCCATAAAAAATGCTCTTGAGTATTATAAAATACTAAGAGAAGAAGGCAATATGACCTATTTATTAACTTACAAACTAAGTCAGGACCATCTAGAGACTTTTTTTTAGTGCAATTCGTAGTCGAGGTGGTTTCAATGATAATCCGACATGCTTGCAATTTCAAGCAGCTTATAAACGATTACTCGTCCATAATCAAATATCTAGTTCCATGCTAATTGCAGAGCTTTGGACAGTACTGCTATAATACCTGTTTCACATGAAAATGAAAATTCTTTAAATAATATTAACAATTCAAATGACTTTACTGTAGATAAAATCAACTTAGACACATTATCTTTATATGTTGATGATGTTTGTTCATACATTGCTGGTTTTGTGGTAAAAACACTAGAAACAAGAATAAATTGTAAATCATGTAAAATGCAGCTTCAATATGATTACCATGAAAGTCATTTGAGTATAATCAAAGATAGAGGGAGTCTTAAAAAGGCAAGTAAAGATGTTATATCAATATGTAAGATATCAGAGAATATATTTCGACAACACCACACATCATCTATAATAAAAACAAAAAATAATTTTCCTCTTATAATTAACAAAGTTAAAAATGTTTTACACACGAAATTCAATATATTTGAAAAAATGGAATGTGTATCTATTGATCCAAGTACCCTACTCGATGGCATTCAACAATTTGATACACATAGAAATATATTAATAGAAAATGTAATAGAAAATATATCAAAATAAGACTATTCCACGAGGCTAGAAAAACCAATGACGTTCTTAAAATTAGGAAAAGACTGAAAAAAATTTCACATTTTAGAAATGAGTAACGAATAAGATTAGATATTTTTTAACAATTTAATTATACTATATTTTATACTTTTAACAATATTTGGTAACTATTATTATTAATTTAAGAACATTTTAATGTTGTGTAGCTATGTTGTAATTATATATTTTTAATCACATTTTTAGGTATTAAGATTGTCTTTTTCATTATTAATTTGTATAGGTATTGTATATTATTTGTATTTTGATTTTTATAAATATTGTTGTTAACAACGGCCTTTTGCTGGAATTATATCATATTGTATTGTATCATAATATAACATATTATATTATATTATATTAAATTTTAATACATATACATTATATTATTTTTAAACGAGTCGCAAAGATCAGCCAATATATACTACATAATAGTTCTTTAAACTTTCAACTTACTTCAACTTAAGAGTAGTAACTTACGACAGATGAATTATTTTAGTGTTCTGTCTTCTGCGTTGCCAGCACGATTGCCACGATTTAAGATATACTTAAATATATCGTATATAAATATATACGTATATCTTAAATCGTGGTTGCCAGTCATTACTTATTAGTTAATGGCAGTTATAGAAATATAGAATATTATCTATGATTATTGTACAGATAAAAAAAAATATTTTTGTTATCATAAATTTTTTTTTGATACCAAAATAATGGTTTTAACCAGAAGTATGGTAAATCTGGGGCTCTTCTGGCAGGCCACCCCATAAGCGATTCACATAGGCATGTCCTATCCATTATGTATTATCTATGATTATACGTATGCCCTTATCTGCGTTACCTTTTTGCCTATTGTTGTGAGTTTTTTTACTTATAAAAGGTTATATTCGAATTCTCGATAACATTGTCTACAGTATATATATTATATATATCATGTATTTATATAATATATTTATACCTACCTACATTATAAGGTAAACGGGATTTTGGAGTTTTTTGGAGTGGGAATGAGACATTTTATAAGAATTGAATATCTAATAAAAATGTTTTACCGTTTGTGGTTTGTCTGTTTTTCAACTTCGTTTGAACAACATCTAGCATACTTAGCTATCCGCTAACAAGTCTTACCGATATTCATTTAATGCCGTTGTTTAGAACAACACTTCTGCAGATATAAGGTAAGTTTTTGTAGTTCATTTTAATATTATAATTTATAAAATAAGTACGTATTCAAATATTTTAAAAAATCAAATAAAATAAAAAATCGAAGAATTCACTCTGCTGTATAGTCGGCGTCGGTCATTGAATCTAGCGTCTAGGTAATTTCATATTATAGTGTCGTTTTTTACCAATTACCTTGTAATGTACTATAATACTAATGTATGTGTTAAATTAAAATTACATATTTCAATATTAAATCATTTTTTCACGAACAACGATTCTGAGTGGGGAGGGTGTATGACACATTGACACCGTTTCGCATTATATTAATGCCGATATTTTATTAATTTATTTTTCAATTAGTAATATTATACAGAAAGTTTGACACGTTTAAGGCATTAAGTTTAAAACAAATGTTTAAAATGTGAATTTTTATTTTATTAAATCTACCTTTATTATTCTACCTAGTCCGCCGAAAGAAAGTTCATTAAAAACCGTCCCGCTAACAAAAGTGGTAAACGGACGTTTCGCCCCCGCCAAAAAAACCAGTACACGGACGATTCGTCCCCGTCAATTATTGAAATAGGTCTTTTCGTCCCTAAGAGTTATTAGCGGGCAAATGTAAACTGGGCCCGAAGTTACCTTTTTTGTTGTAAACTGGGCCCGAGAATTTTAGGTAATATAAATAGGTAGATTGTAATCTCGGCCCGGAAATTTCAGGTGGTAAAATAAATCGATTGTAAACTCGGCCCGAAAATGTCAGGTGTCAGATTCTATGTTTCCTCCTGAAATGTGGGCCAGTGCATCAGTTGAAACGTATTTAACAACAAATGCATGTGAATCATTTCATGAGCATTTTAATTCAAGTTTTAATTCCACTCACCTCAATATATATTTCGTCATTTCAAAATTAAAAAAGTACAAACAGAAACGTACATTAAAATCAACAGCCTAGATGGACCATTTAAATTCCAAAATATAAAAACTAAAAAAAAAAAAAGAACTCTTAGAAAGAACACTTACAAAATATAAAAATAAAGAAATATCAGTGAGTGAATATGTAAAATACATGGCTTTTTACTTAAAAAACTAGATTTATATATTATTATACTAAAATTTTTCACTCATTATATACACTACAATTTTACTTATATATTTTTTATTATATTTTTACACATTTTTACACTTATAAATTTATATAATTACATTTATAATTATTTTATTATCAATATTATAACATTTTAATTACATTTTTCATTTAAATAACGAATTTCATACTATGAATAATAATATGAAACTGAAAATAATTTTTGAAGGATAATGAGAACCGCCTCGTGGTGTCCTCTGGGTAATGCTAAATGTTTCTCAAAAATATTATAAGAAAAATGATGGTTTTTACACCTAAATCATTTTCACCTGAAAAAAATCGGGGCCGAGTTTACATCTAAATAATTTTAACCTGAAAAAAACCCGGGCCGAGTTTACATCTAAATAATTTTGACCTGAAAAAAACCCGGGCCGAGTTTACCATCGACCTTTTGAAAATGTTTTTTCCTCGGGCCGAGTTTACAATCTCCCTTATTAGCCATAGGACGTTTGGTCCCCGGTATACTTTGATAATCTAAATACCTACATTAATTTTTAATGAACAATTTAATCTTTAAATGACAATACTACAAAATATACAAATACATAATCAATATTCATACAATACAATTTCAAATAGTCAAAATTTATATACATCACAATATTGTATTAAGTCAACACAAATTGTAGTAAAAATTCCAAAGAAAGTCCATTAAAAACCGTCCCGCTAACAAAAGTACGGTTTAATTATTATATCAGAGTGCGGATTTTTATGTATATATTTATTTATAAGTTATTTATATGTTTATGTAAACAATATTATACTTTGGTAGGAATTGGTTGGGTTGAGCACCAAGCTAAAAAAGTAAAAACTATTTAGGGTTCGATATAACATTTCATTGTGAATTTGACCATAAAAAAAAAAACAATTATTGAAAAATGTGAACAGCAAAATTTGTTTCCTGACCCCAGGTTTTTTTTATACTACAGCTATATTGTAAATCTATTATTGTCAGTATATTAACTACCTACATGATTATAAGTTTGAAAAAAAAATAAAATTAAATAAAAATAAATTTCACCAAAAGTGTGTAATGCCATATTTTAATTTTTTTTTTTTTTTACTTAAAGAATAAGGCTTCAACATCAAAGGTTATTAGCCTGACAATATTTTACATATATGTTTCTTAAAATTAGATATTCAATTTATAAGGTTATTACAGAGTTTACAATTTATTGATAATATTGGTAATATTTAGAAATTCTATGATTTTTGACGTGTTATGTTCTTCGAGTGCTTCTACAACGTTGGGTGGTATGTTGAGGTGTACAATATGCATTCCTCCACTATATTATTTTTAATGGTAAGTGCTTGATTGCATGTGTCGCATCTTGGTTGGGGCTCTTTGCTGATAAGGTATGAGTGTGTGAGTAAGGAATGTCCAATTCTGATGCGGGTGATTGCGGTGTCTTGATGTCTGTTAAGATGAGGGGAGGTGTACCACTTTTTGATAGTTTTTTTGATGTTTTGAGTTTGTTAGATGGTGGTATTAAATTCCATTGATTTTTCCAAATTGAGAGGATTTTTTTATTAATAGAGTTTAATATGTCATTGGACTGGATGTTATTTAAAGTGGGGGTTGGAATATTTTTTGTTGCAAGATAAGCATCTTTGTCAGCTCTTTCATTTCCTGCAATGCCAGTGTGGGAAGGGACCCACATGAATTCTATATTTTTATTTGTTTCAATTAATTTTGTTTGGATATTTAGGGTTATTTTTTTTTGGTGGATAGGTTTTTGAGAGCTAGTAAGGTGCTAAGAGAGTCGCGTATATCATTTGATTTTAGCGTGTTTGCTAGTTTTACCCCTTCATATATAACATAGTTTTCGGCAGAGAAAATACTGGTTATTATTGGAAGCTTATGTTGAATAATTGTGTCATCTTTTATTACGGCGAGCCTACTCCATGCTCGGATTTTGATGCATCGGTGTACATTTTTGTAAAGTTGGACAATGATTGCTGGATCGTATTTTTAAAAAGACAAATGATTATTGTATTATTTGTTACGTTTTTATTGATGTCAAGAAGTTCCGTGTTTAGTTTCAGTTCCCATTTCCAGGGTGGTGTTACTTGGAGCGTAATTTTATTTACAACTGAGGTGTGTATATTCATTGATTGTTGTAATCTGTTAAATATGTCCCGTATCGTGGAAGATTTATTGTGCTCTGTATTTATTGGTAATGTGGTTTGGTTTTTAAAAATGGTCTTGTGTCCAATGTGGTTGGGTGTGCTTTTCCTTTTAATGATATATTTTAGTGTGTCTTGGTCTCTTTGAAGTTGTAGTGGAATTTCTCCTGCGTAGTTCAGGATACTGTCAATTGGGCTTGTTCTGAAAGCTCCAATTGCCAATCGGATTCCTTCGTTGTGAATAGGGTCCAGAATCTTGAGGAGGTTGGGTTTAGCTGAATTATATATTTGTGAGCTATATTTAATTTTGGAAAGAATAAGAGACTTGTATATGGTGAGTAATGACTTTTGGTTTGCTCCCCAAGTGTGGTGAGATAGAGTTTTGATTATATTCATTTAATTTTTACAGGAGCTTTTGAGTTGTTTCAGGTATGTTGTCCATTTAAGGTTGTCATCAAAAATTATTCCTAATATTTTAATGGTTTTGTATATTATAAGTATTGATGAATTGTATAAGAATAGGTGTTGGTTTATTTTGGGTTTATAATTGAAGACAATACATTGACTTTTGGTGGGGGAAAATTTAAAGCCGGTTTCTTTGGACCAATTTTGGAGGGTATGTAGTGATGATTGAAGGATCTTGAATGTAGTTTCTATGTTATTTCCGTCACAGTATATATAGCAGTCGTCAGCAAACATTATATGTTTTGTTGGATTAGGTATTTTGCTGAAGATATCATTTATTGCTATGAGGAACATTGTAACGCTTATTACTGATCCTTGCGGGATACCATTTTCAGTGAGGTAAGGTTTAGAGATTTCATTGTGTGCTTTGACCTGTATTGTACGATTGCTTAAGAAATTTCTTATAAAGAGAAACATTTTACCGTTGATATTCGTCCTTTGTATTATTTTGAGGATTCGGTTGCGCCATGTCATGTCGTAGGCTTTTTCAATGTTAAGAGCGATAAGACATAGGTGCTGTTTGTTGTTTTTTGCATTATTTATGTCGGTGTGGAATTTTACTAGGGTGTCTAATGTAGAATGATTTCGGCGGAAGCCACATTGTTCTTCGGTGAAAAATTTGGTTGCCTCCAAGTGCCAAATGAAACGTTTATTTACAATTTTTTCCATTATTTTCCCTAATGTGTTTATAAGTGATATTGGACAATAATTAGCTAAATTAAATTTGTTTTTGTTGGGTTTTGAAATAGGAATAATAATTGCATTACGCCACTGATCGGGGAATACGCCATTATTCCAGATCTCATTGTATATTTTAAGAAGTTGGGTAATACCATTGGAGGGCATATTTTGTACAAACGAGTAGGGTATGTCGTCCGGCCCAGGACTTTTGCTTTTGCAGCTTAACATGGTATTATGGAGTTCTTTTTCATTGAAGGGGATATTAAGATGACTATCTTGATGGTGAAAGTTCTTATTGAGGTCGTTGATGATTAGATTCTCATGGTTGTGTTTGTAATGTGTAAAATTTGAATCACAGCTGTTTTTTGTGAAAGATTGTGCAAAGACTTCGCTTATGTCTGTTGGAGATGAGAGTTGTATATCTTTATGTTTAAGAATAGGTGGGAGAGGATGATAAGTAAGACCTTTGATTGCTTTGATTTTTTTCCATATTACTGTTGAGCAGGTGTTGGGGGTAATTGAATTTGTGTATTTTTGCCAGGATTCCGTTTTGTGTTTTTTTGTTATATATCTAGATTCTGCTCGAGTTTTTTTAAGGTTTATGTGGTCTGTGAGAGATTTAGTTTTTTTTAATTTATTTAGACATTTTTTGTATTTTTTTTATTGCTTCTTTACATTCTTCGTTCCACCATGGTACTGTTTTCCTTCTGTGTGTTGTGTATGTTTTTCCGATAGCTTTATTCGCGGCGTCTATTATAATTTTTGAGAACTGTGTTATTATGGAGTTTATTTGTGTTTGACTAAGTTGGGATTTAGTATCAATTTTTATAGGATTTTCTAGTAAATTTTGATTAATGAGATTTTAATTAAGTTCCTTTTTTTTTTTTGTTATGGAAAGGGGGGTGGTGTGGTAGGACGGCTTTGTGTGTGTTGTATTGTTTGAGTTTGACTTATGCAGAATTTTGTTGAGGAGGTAGATTTTGAAAAAGAAGATGTGCTAGCTTTGATAGACGTGTTTTGAGTTTACGATCTTTTACTATTTCTCGGATTGAGTCTAGTAAATCCATTAGAGATGATATATCAGTATTTGCATTTTCAGCCAGCGTGTGAATGTTCATAGATTTGAGAGTGAAATTATCTAGGATGTATCTGAATTGAAAAAAAGTGATTGGTGAGGTATCTTTGGTAGTGAAAAATTCTTCCACTGTTTTTAGGCCCTCTTCGTAAGATTTTTCTGTTAATCTGTTGGACGAATTTGATCGCGATCGAATTTTGGGTTTTTTATGGCTATTTCTTTGTGCGGAATGGTCGTGGAAGTATTTAGGTTTTTGGGTGAGGTGGGAGGGAGGATGACGATTCAGAGAAAGGTCTTTTATAGGTCTCGTTTGGAGTAGGGTCGTGGGATACTTCAGGGGTGTTATTTATTGGTGAAGAGGGCTCTGGTTCATTGGACCAGTCCAAAATAGTTTTTCCAAGAAGTTCTAAATCAAGTGATGAGGGAGTGTCTTCCATTGGTACTTCAGCGGAAAATCCAGTGTTGTTTGCATTAGAATCGGACAAGTAATCACTTTTAGATTTATCTGCGGTATTTTTTTTGCACTTAGCTGTTGTGTGACCAACCGATTTACATAAAAAACAAGTTATTTTGTCGTCGGTAAAAAAAATTCTGAATTGATTTTCGTTTACATTTATTAGTAAAAAGCTAGGGAGTTTGGGGACATCTTCGTGGTTTATATAAATTTGGAGGCAAAAACTCAATATGTGTTCATAGCCTTCGACATTGATTCCGGCTTTGAGGTATGTAATTTGTGAGACTGGAACATTTTTGTCTAATGAAAGCAGACATAGGTATCAAAATATTTAAATATTATTGTACCTATCTAATAATTTTGTGTCCTGTAGAAATTATTACACTAGAGTGAGTCAATATACTAAATCATGTATTGAACATAATATATTAAAATGTTTACAAATATAGCTAACTTAAATAATATAATATCATCTTATATTGTAGAATCTAATATTACAGATCATTCTAGTTTAATAAGATGTTTTTGTGATTCAAATAATGTTGACTATGGTAAGGAGACTAATAATTTAAGTAACAGTACATAAAATATATAAAATACAGAAATATACTTATTATATTAATAAATAGGTAAAGCAAAAAAGTTATATTTAAAAAAAATTATTTGGTTTATCTTGCAATAATACTAAAACTACGTGGAATTTAATAAATAAGGCTATGACATAACCCTAAAAAATAATATTCTTTATAATTTTTGTAATGAGTGATTTTACTTTAAAATAAACATTACTCACAAACATCAATACAATTATTCTGGGTAAAAGCGTTTTGTCTATGTTTGCGTGGGCCAGAGAGAGAAAACAAACAGTGCGCTGACATCCTCTTAGCTTAAGCATAAATTAATGTAGGTATTTTTTTGTATTACTAAGTTCTATACCTACAGCACTTTATATTGAGACTGTGTATGACTGATTAGTGATTACTGACAAGGATATGCCAACTTATTTTATTATACCTAGTTGTTTTTGTTTTTATATTGTTCTATTTTATTTACTTTGATAAAAATTGTTAATTTAATTTTAATCATAATATTGTTTATTGTTATGTATTCAGTAAATACCTATAACTTAATTGTTTAAACCTAAGAATAATGAGTGCTGCATACTATCGATTGAAAAAACATCGCCAAAAACCATCTGTTGAAATTGAGGATGAACTGCAAGTATTAACATCAAGACGTGATGTGCCAAAATTTGAGCAAAATCAACTTGACCATTCAAATTTACCTATAGACGAGACTCTGAGTATACATTCATTATGCCCATCTCAGCCTACAGACACCAAAAATCATGATAATGATCTCTTAGATTGTTTTGAGTACATAGATACACCGCAAGATTTCAGCTAACAGGAGTCTCCTATATCTTCACCATCGTCTCACCATTCATCTAACCATCTATACAGATAATTATGCTTAAAATATTACTGCTCCTGTGCCTACCTTACGCGATAAATTAAGAAACTTTGTTGTTCGATTTAGGAGTAACATGACCATTGAAATAATTGAAAATTTACTTAATATATTACGATCTGAAGATCATTTTGACTTACCAAAATCAGCGGTTGGCTTGCAACAAACAAAGACCAATGAAAATATTACAATAATGAAAAGTTCAAAGCACACAAATGGGTACTAGGTTTATTTTGGCATAGAAGAAGGGTTAAAATTTATACTGACTGATGAGTATACCGAAAATAAGATACGCATATTGTTCAACATTGATGGCCTACCCCTATTTAATAGTTCAACCTATTAAACTGATAAAAGTTAATATTCCAAAATTGATATGTTGAGTAAGACATCATCTAATTATAAGAATTTTTGGAAAAGCTTTGGAATTAGCGTAGTCTCGGAAGCTCGTAAGATCTATTTACTTAAATATTTATAATTTTTGATAATATTGTTAATTTATATGCACATATAATATAATATATATTGATTATCATAGATTATACAAAACAATTAATTCAAACTACACAAGTTTAAAAATAATATTATATTATTATGCAAACTGGTTTTATATTTTTTTCTAATTAACCCTCAATAATACTCAACTATTTTAAGTTGTAATGATACAAAATAATATGTACAAAAAAGCTTGCTTTATGTATGCTTTTTTGTATGATTATCTCATAGCTTAATTTTTTCGGGTACTTAACATAATTTAATAACACTCGAGGCATTATATTTTTTACTTATATGTTATAATTTATAAATTTAATAATATGTATATATTTACATTTTTTCATCTAATCTGGTTTCATATTTCAGAAAATTATGAGCAAGGTGTTAGGCAGATGAACAGGGCATTCTCAAGTAAAGTAGTACTGAGTAGCACTGTTGAGGACATGAACAGTTCTGAAAATGAGTGTCAGCCTAAAAATGTATCAGAAAATGAACTTAAAAGGCATTTAAGAGATATCCCTTCTATTAAAAAATCTCAATCTGCCTCATCATCGTTATCTGATTCGTCCTCAAAATGTACAAATTGGAAAATATTTAAAAACTCATCAAAGAAGAAAAGAGTTTGTTCTTGTAATGAACTAGGTAAAACTCCTATATTTTGTAAAAACAAGAGTGTTAGAAGAAATAATAACAAATTATTTGTGTTATGTTATTACATGTGATCAGTCACATTTTGATGTATCATCTGAAACAATTCCAATGTCTATAAACAAAAAAATATCATCAAAGAAGAAAAGAGTTGTTCTCGTAATGAACTAGGTAAAATACCTATATTTTATAAAAACTAAAGTAGTAGATGAAGTAGGTAATAATAAATAATTTTTATGATATTATTAGAGATGATCAGTTAGATTCTGATGCATCATCTGAGACAATGTCAGTGTCTACCAGAAAAATAAGTATAAAAGGAAATAAATTGGTAAAAAGAGTTCAGTCTTGTGAGAAAAGAAATCTTCCAATTGTACAAGAAAGATCATTAGATGGTAATCCTAATTTATACTATAGTATTAATTATAAAGCTTCAATTTTCCAAATTGTCTGCCCCAATTGTTAGAAGTTTTTAATGCTAGCTGATTTAAAAATTTTGTCTGTTACAGTTAATTATTCACATGTTACACCAAAAATAACAACAAAATATTGTCCGACATGTGGTCGTTCAGGTAAAACTAAATAATACATTCAAATTGTAGTATTTTAATACTAGTATCCTTAATGTCCTAAACTCATAATTCATAAATAATATAAAATTATAAATGTATTTAATTTACTATCAATTTAAGATGAAACTTTACCGGCGTCCAGATCAGACATAGAATCACTCGTAGAATCACTAATACGAAGTATTGAGTATCGCATCAAAGAAGAGTCAAAAAACACTAGAACATTATTAGCAACAGTAAATAGTTCTTCTGACTTATCTAAAATAATGAAAGATGCACTGATTGATTTGCCAAAATCTACATAAGACAGATTTAAAGATTTTGATGATCAACTCAATAACGATATTGATTTAATAAAAAATCTGGTGAGTATATTTTTACTTCTGAGTCTACAAAACATTATCTATATTTATATTATGTACACTTTTAGAAATGTTTTATGGTAATCAATATAAGAGGGATGGTAAAAATTAGTGAGAACTTAACTACAATTATCCCTAAAATAATGACCAAGGATGTGCGGATTAAGTACAGTGCATTTGGTAGAGAGATGAATGGCATTAAAAAATTAAATTTTTCAGAGAATAACACATACAAGTATTTACTAGGTAAGTTGAGTTAGATTTATAATAATTGAGGTAGCATCACTTCTGTTATAAAATTTATAATGGTAATGTAATTTGTTTTCTTTTTAATAAACAATTCATTTTATTTTTCTAGAAGTGCTTGTGAACAAATTTCCTGAAGTAAGAGAGAAAGAGTTTTCTAGTAATCTTAGTCGTTGGTTTTCTGGAGCCAAGGACAGGGATGGAGGAAAAAAAGAAAGAATGGCTAAGAAAACCATAACATTATCTAACTCTAACATAACTTAATATTGTTTTATATATTTAAAAAAAAAATAAACATAGGAAAGATGTGTGCATCTATGTTTATATTTAAACATGTTATGGTAAACATAATTTGATCAGATTTAAGTTTTTTAATGTAATATTGTGTATTATTATTACACATAGTTAACTTTAATATATTATGTATTACTTTATATGCATAATGCTATAAAAAAATTAATTAACAATAAAATATATTTATACAGTTAAAAATAAATTTTTCTAATAATATTGGATACTGGGGTGGAAGTGGTTAGACAATCATCACAATGCTATAAAGTATCAGTTGGAATAGTAAAACTAAACTCTTATTGTCTCATATTTACATTTTTGAGGATTTGGCGAACTATATGTCACTATAATCTGTACTAAAAAAGAATTTACCAAGAATACACTGATCTCATTACCAAAAATGGGCATTAATTAGTTATAAAGTCAATTTTTTTGAACTATTGAATTTTACTACTTAATTAATTTTCTAATCAACTTAACTAGTTTAAGAATCCATATTAATTATTTAGTTTTTCCTGGTTATTTAAAAAAGAAAAACAATTCTATAAGTTAAAATCATATTTATGCATAAGTTTAGTTTATAACTGTAATTAAAGGTAATTAATTAGATTACTAATTAAATCACTATATAGAGCTAATGTGTAATAATATGGAATTGGGTAGGATGCATATTTGATGAAGTATTTAGTTATTATACTGGTGGTGATAAAAAATAAATAAATAAACTTTTTTTAACTTTGTTAAGTTAATATTTGTTTGGATGTTAACTAAACTTTTAGGGTAAGATATTATGTATATAAAATATTAACTTATAGCTTAACTTTCCAAATGTTGACTCAACTTAACTAACTAAAGTTAATTACTATCATTAATTTGCCCGAATTTGATACTTACCATGTATAGAATACAAATAGTAACATACCAGATTTGTGTTCGTAACCGGAGTACATGTTCAAGAAGAGGAGATCAAGTTTTGGGGGGAAACAATGCTCTACCATGGCTATGGGCCTAGTTAGAACCGTCCTAGCAGTAACTGGTCATTATTATCTGTACATAGCCAGTATTGACTGTCATTACTTGGCCAGTTCTGGAATGTCAGTACTTGACCAGTACGAAGTCCAGCATTGGTAAAGCGTTATCATCCCAGATATATGACAGTACTGGTGCAAACACTGGCTGCCAGTAGTAGCCAGTACTGGCGCAGTATTGCGCCTGTTGTGGATTTCCGATTGGGATGATTTAAATCTGATTTTAACACATTTTTCTAAAATACCAGAACTAAGTACAAATCTAGAAGCAAGAAACTTGTTACTACACAATTCATTAAAAGTTATGGAGGAATTATTAACAACAGCATCTGAACTCCTGACGTATTTTCAGAAAAATCAAAACAAAGATTACTCGATTACTGAACAAAAATCCAGGATATGATTCCCTAAGTATGATCGACGCTTACATTAATGGCACAAGAACTGTACTGCATAATACAATAACGAGCAACATGGCTTCTAAGTTTAAATACTGTCCTGTGACGTCCTGTGATGTTGAACGGTCATTTTCTGCATTTAAACTTATTTTGGATGACAAGCGCCATAGTTTTACAATGGACCACTTGGAGCAAAATTTAGTAATATACTGCTACGAGAACTATAGTTCTAAATAAATTTACATAAATGTAATATAATAATTATTAATTATAATTTATAATAATTTTTTTTTGTTATTAAATTTCATCATCATAATTTTTTCATATTGTTTTTAAATTTAATTCTTAGTGCATATTTAACATAGACTACGCATATTTCTGTATTTTATGCTGCATATTTGCATGCATATAATTTTCACTGCATATAATCCACGGTCTAATAATAAATATACAGGACTTTTTTTCGCGGTACTTTTTTTACCGGAATTTCTTTCGCTGGACTTTTGTTAGTACATTCCCACTCGATATCTGCGTCCCGGTTTTCTTTAATTAATGTACAAAATTATTTTAGATGTACCAGCCAACCGCTCCTACGTTTTACGAAGCGCAGGCGACAAACCTGCTGCACTCGCCTTTAAATCCGGTAATAATGTATCAGCCACCGATGATGCCCGCCCATCCCACAATGCTTCAGCAGCCCGCCACATACTCGGTGACCACCATTTACCAGGTGCCGAGTATGTACCAGCCGCCCGTCATGTACCAGCACCAGCCACCCGTCATGCAACAGCACCAGCCCGCAACTTACCAGCAGTCCGCCATGAAGTGCACTTCAGCTCCGACTCTGACCGTGACTTCCCAGCGGCCATCTCACAAAATTAAATTTTGTAAGTTAAATGAATTATTCAACTTTAATTATGATGATGCCCGCCCATCCCACAATGCTTCAGCAGCCCGCCACATACTCGGTGACCACCATTTACCAGGTGCCGAGTATGTACCAGCCGCCCGTCATGTACCAGCACCAGCCGCGCGTCATGCAACAGCACCAGCCACCCGTCATGTACCAGCACCAGCCCGCAACTTACCAGCAGTCCGCCATGAAGTGCACTTCAGCTCCGACTCCGACCGTGAGTACCCAGCGGCCATCTCACAAAATTAAATTTTGTAAGTTAAATGAATTATTCAACTTTAATTAATATGATGCCCGCCCATCCCACAATGCTTCAGCAGCCCGCCACATACTCGGTGACCACCATTTACCAGGTGCCGAGTATGTACCAGCCGCCCGTCATGTACCAGCACCAGCCGCGCGTCATGCAACAGCACCAGCCGCCCGTCATGTACCAGCACCAGCCACCCGTCATGCAACAGCACCAGCCCGCAACTTACCAGCAGTCCGCCATGAAGTGCACTTCAGCTCCGACTCCGACCGTGAGTACCCAGCGGCCATCTCACAAAATTAAATTTTGTAAGTTAAATGAATTATTCAACTTTAATTAATATAATGTACCAATATTAAAACATTTTAATTATAATTGATTACAGAATGTATAATATGTCATAAAACTGGTCACCGGGCGGCGGAGTGCCGCAGTCGAGTGCGCCAAGAGCCTTCGAGTAAGATTTATTTATTTATTTTGTACATTTATAATATGATTAAGATGATGTTATACAATTATACAATGTTGGGTATAAATATCTATGATTTGTAGCTATATGATTAAAGTAGTTGATGGGGATTGTAGGTAGTGTCGTTTAAAATTCACAAATTTCATTAAATATATTTTAATCATAGAATTTTTATCTACTGCTTACAAAAATACAAAAATAATATACCTATAAATTACCATAACCTAACCAACCCTGATACTATAATATGTTGTATAATATATTCTATACTGTAGCCTGTAGGGTTAAATTAAGTTCTTATGACGACCAGGGAAATGCTTTACATATATAAGATATTCGCCTAGTATTGTGTCCGTGTTCAGTTTTAAAAAAAGATATTTTCAATTATGTAAAGTACCGACGCTTTATAAAATATTTTTTTTATTGGTACAGTACATTCATGTCATTGTATAAATATTTTGTGTAGTACCTTGAGTCTTTTTTTATTATCATTTTTGGTAATTTGTTTTGGATTTTTTTTTAATGGATCTATAGTTGTATCATACATACCTCCCCATATAGAAATACCATAATTAATTATGGATTCTATTAATGCTTGATACACTACTCTAATTAAATTGAATGATTTTGATTTTATTAATTCGAATAGGCATATTATTAAACGTAAGTAGGTACTTAGCAGACATATATCTTTATATTTTTATACTTGTTATGTGTGAATCTAAACAATAATATAGGTATTATTATTATGTTAAAATACTAAAAAGGTACATCATTGATTAATCTATGTTTCAGATAGGCAAAGGGCTCCACTCGTAGTTAGGCCACCAAGACGAGTTGCAAGGAGAAATAGGAGGTTCATGACTCCAGTATGTAAGTTTCAAACACATTTTAATACACAAATACACAATACTCTGTAGAACACATACAATTCTTAAATATTTATCTAGATAAAATAATATATTTTTTTTGATACAATCTCTTACATGATGAGCTAATAGATAAATTTAAATTTAATTATTTAGATAATAAATAAATCATCTGAGGATTTTGAATTTGTAAACAGAAATTAATTGTACTTTATTTTGTAGATGAACCAGAAACCGAAAGGGAACAAGCCATGAATTCAAAAGAGTAATAAATTTAATTTAATTTATTTTAAAATAAACATTTTTTAACAAAAACTTGACTTTTTATTTATATGTTTCAAAGAAAATAGGAACAATATTTTAGTTTGGTATCTTAGTTGCAAGTTTATCTACACTTATACATTCATTATTAATTTTGATGTAAAAAGTAAATGATTTAACTCTCCGGTTGGGTACAATTTTGTTTTTTTTTAATGTAACAAAAATAAATAATTAATTTACATGGGTAAATGAAATAAATATAATAATATAATATGTTTACAATAAATTATAAAATAATCAAACGATCAAATAATAGTTAGCTCCATAATAGTAATATACAATATAACTGTTACTGAATTATATTTCCTAAAGTCCTAATGATGGTAAAAGTAGGATTGGATAGATCTCAGTGGCGTGTCCAGAACTTTTTTTGTTAATGGGCCTCAAAAATTAAGTTCAGAATGGTTTTATCCCCTTCACCTTACTTAGACCAACGCAAAATGATTGCAGTTATTTTAAAAAAATATCTAAGTCCGGCCGTCCGCGGTGTCGGGTGCCGCGCGATGTACTGGCGGGGCACCATCCTCCCGCGAGCTCCTGACAATTTTCCGAGAGTAGTCGACGCTTTCTGATTACATATTCGGAATCTCCAGTTCAATATGAAGATTTTCATCTTACTTAGACCGACGCAAAATGATTGTAGGTATATTTAAAAAAATGTCTAAGTCCGGCCGTCCGTGGTGTCGGGTGCCGCGCGTGTACTGGCGGGGCACCGTCCTCTTGTAGGTTCCTGAAGTTTTGAGATCTGTTTTTTAAAAATAATGTCAAAACATCATAACTTAAATTTAAACTTGAAAAAAAAATTAGGTGTATAATATTTGTTAATATTTATTCAGTTTTTTCACTCTCTTGAACAATTGGTAAAATGTAGATACGTGGTATTGTCATTAGTGTAACGAAATATGAGATAATCAGAACCGTTTGAAATTCTAGCTGCGGTGAATGAACTCAAGGAATTAAATAGCACATTAACAATGTCTTTTCCGAAAAAAAAAGAGCATCAGAAGATGAATGTGATATAATTGGAAGACATGTAGCAACTCAAACAGTTACAGCCAGTTGGAAAATAGAATCGAGTATACACCTTGGAGCAATTAAATTTAAAAGTATTTCCACTTGTGTTTATGTCATTCTCATAACTGCTTTATACTCTAGAGCAGGGGTCGGCAACCTTTTTACCTACACGGGCCATAATTTGTTTCAGTTTTTAATGGAGGGCCGCATACAAAATTAAAATATTAAAAAATATAATTTTAACAAATAATACTAATATATTTACAGATAGCAACAAACATATTATGAGTTTAACATTGCAGTGGTCAGTTCATTCAATAAAGTTGTTATATCAGTTAAAAATGCCAGATTAAGAACCCACTTTTCATTTGATAATTCTGGTACATTTTTACCTTTTTCTGACATAAAAATATTTATTTCATTTCGTAAAATAAAAAACCGTTTCAAAACCACACCTCTACTCAACCACCTTACTTCGGAAAAATATATTACATCCCCATATTCAGCATCGCATTCTTCCAAAAATATTTTAAATTGACGATGTGCCAAAGCATTTTTGCGTATGTAGTTAACCGTCGATACTACAATATTCATTACATCTTTCCATGCTAAAACTTTGCAACATAATGCCTCTTGATGTATGATGCAATGAAATATCATAGGTGCTTCATGTCTTTCTTCCACTATTTTCTCATTTATTCTCCCAATTAATCTTTTATTAATTCCACTCATATTTTTACCACCGTCTGTAGTAACACTAACTAGTTTGTTCCAACTTAAATCAAGTTTTTTAAATGTTTTATCAATTTCGATGAATAAGTCTTCTCCCGTTGTAGGTCCCTTCAAACTACATAATTCAGCTAATTCTTCAGAAATATTAAAATAAAAATCAATTCCTCGAATATAATAATAATATATAATAATAACTGAGCAGTATCACAAACATCAGTACTTTCGTCAGTTGCGATAGAAAAACAATCAAATTTAGAAACTTTTTCTTTCAGTTTGAATATTAAATTTGTTCCTAACTCTTCGGTACGTCTAACACAGGTCCTAGCTGAGAGACTGATGTCTTCAAATTGGTTTTTTTTCTCAGGGCATATTTCATTTACAACGGCTAACATACATTTTTTTATAAACTCAGTGTCGTTGAATGGACGATTACACTTGGCTATCATTTCAGCAACTAAGAAACTAGCTCGTACTCCTGATTCGTTTTGATTATGTTGTAATTTAAAACTATTTTGTTGATAAGTTAATGAACTTTTAAAATTGTTTATTTTAATCTGTCGAAGATCACCAGTGAGAGTGTCAAATTTTAATTTATGCTCTGTTTCATAGTGACGTTTAACATTATACTCTTTTACAGTTAAAATGTTTTTTTTGCAAATTAAACATAACAGTTTACCTTTATTTTTGATAAAAAAATATAAATCCGTCCATGATTCGTTGAATGTACGATGTTCATCACTAATTTTACGTTTTTTTGACATTGAATTGATAGGTTATTATAAAACAGTTTAAATTTAAACTTCACGTTGGAATGTTTCGAAACGAACTGCACTAAGCCACTAAGGCCATAACCAGATACGTATTCGTCGTAATCGACGATATATACATTACATGAGATTAGATTACGTTCTCGATCATAGCTTATCTCGCATTGATTAAATATTATTTATATATTTTATAACAATTTAAGCTACAAAATTAAAATTTTAAACACCATGAATTATATTTGGAGGGCCGCATCAAAAAGTTCCGAGGGCCGCGGATTGCCATTGCCTGCTCTAGAGGATCTTCATTATATATAGGTCTTTAAATATTGTATGTGTTGCCCCTTCCCTCTGCATCCAATTCCTGACCCAAATCGTTCTTTCTTTCTTCTTTTTTTCTACAGTTCGAAGTACTTCAAATTATTTTCGTAACTATTTTTATTACGGTATTAACTATAATCAGTTTTGTAGTTTGTGGTAATATTGCATGAGACATTGTTAATAGCCTATGGATTACCTATATTACACTACTAGTTATTGAATTAATAAAAAAATATTACCCATTGATTTGGAGGCCAAGAATAGTGTTCTAAAATGTATAGAGCAATCAACAGCCTACTCTCATTATTATTATAACAGGAACTTATGTTAAATCAATGTGAAAATAATGTTTAAAAATACATATTTTTTGTAATAATACATTGTGATGGATATATCTCAATTGGGAATTTCCACTGGCACCCGCATCTATGTATAATATCAAATATTATCCATCAATTATCAATTAACAATATAAAATATTACTATGTATTACATTCAGTGTTTACAGTCTCGACTCTTGAGGCCGGTGTTACACATGCGGAATATCCGCAGCGGACGTTCCGCGGCGGAATTTCCGCAATATTGAAATTCATATATTTATATACCAGTGGACACATTACAGCGGAATTTCTGCACGGAAAAAAAACCTCTACACGACGCGATTATTCCGCAGGATTTATTTCCTCAGCGGATACCAAAATAAATCCTAACATGTTGTTTTGGGTAATCCATGTCATATTTGTAGAGGAAATTCATAGCGGAATAGTAATATTTCATTTTATTCATAATTTGATTATTGATTCTTCAACGAGCATCATCATCAGACGTTGAATTATTAATTTCTGAAGTGCAGTCAATTGAGAAGTAAAAAAAAAACATGGAACCAAATAGCAAAAAATATATTTTCCAATTTTGAAACAACAAAATTTTGTGAACAAAAAAAAACGTACCTAAGTAAATAATTTTAATTTTAAATATCATATGGAATATACTATTTATGAACATGGAATAAGTACCTAATTCATAAGTCAAATTTTTAACACCATCACTATGGATCTACCTACTCTAAATAATAATATATAAGTTTTAACTTATACTAATTTAAATTAACTTAAAAACAATTATTAATAAATAATTAAATCCTGTTATTTTGCCACGGAACACTTCCAACTTCACTTAAAAAGTACTGGGCGAATTGATCTCTAACCTGTTGTCCAACTAAACTTCTAGATTCAATAGCTAACATGTTATCACAGTTTAGAGTGTCTTCAAACGCAAATCCGTCCCTCCGTCGTATATAATTATGGAGAACTGTAGCTGCTTGAACTATGGTATTTACAAAATCAGGCCCTACTGCAATAAACCCATAAAAAATTTCAAATTTTCTACACAGTATTCCAAAAGCGCACTCAACATTTCTTCTAGCTCTACAGTCTATAATTAAAAATTCGCTTAGAATAATTTAAATCACGGCTTGAGTAAGGTTAATAATGCTGATGAATTCCAAAAGCTTCTTCTCCAATTAATTCATAGGGTAATGCAGGGCCATCAATATTTGGTAGGTTAGTCGAAGGTGGTAATTTTAACGAATTGTTGTAGAGCTATTTTCCAAAAGTAGATTGTTTAAAAATATTTATATCTCCTTCAAGGTCATAAGACCCTACATCCACAATTGTAAAACAATAATTAGCATCAACAACTGCCATTAGGACAATTGAAAAAAACTTTTTGTAACAAAAATAATTTGAGGATGTATTGGTAAATAATGTTTTGTGTATACGCCATATTTTTTTAATGTTTCTCAACAATTTTTTTCTCGCTCCGCTCAAAAACTAGTGCACTTACATAAATAAAACACTTATTATTTTTCTTACTTAATTCTCAGTACCAACCAACAATTTTTCAAAATATAAAATCCAGAAATATGTTAAAAATTGTATTGTTAAAATATTACAAGACAAAATATTACATTACAAAATATTCCAAATATTTTCTAAATTTTTTTGTATTTTTTTCGATCTTGTATCATCAGCCGATCTATGACGCACTAACCATGATTTCACACAGACTTCTGGTTTCCAAACATGCAATGGAGGTCCATTTATTTTAATAAACATCAATTGAGAAATATGTTCAACAGTTAATGTTGTCCGAAGATCATTGCAAATAATATTTAAAAAGCTAAAGCCCCTTTCACACTCTGCTGTGGAACATGGAAATGTTTGAACACAGTTATGCATTTCTAAGATCAATGTTCTAGAACTTTTATCTTCTTCTAAAAATTCTCCGAAACCAAGCAATTGCATTATCTTTATTCAAGAAAAATCGGTCACATATACGTTTCACTTGGTCTTCACCATACCTTACACCAACAGATTGAGGCAAAGTAGCTTTATCGAGGACACAGATATCTTGAAGAATTGAACTATCAATATCATTTTTATCTAATAATCTTGAGTTCAGATTAACACAGATACTTGTTATGAACTGATCACTATTAATGGAAACAATTCTTGAATAACTAGTTAATTTTACATTTTTAAACAACAAATTTGGTAAATCTTTTTCAAATTCCTCCATGTGATCACCATTTTTATATTTAAATGACTCTATTATTCTTATTGATCTTTTAATTTTTGAATCAGCATTTATCAATATAATATCTTTACTTTGGACTTGGGAGTGCTAAAGATAAAGTAGAAAGTTCACATCACACATTAAGGCTAAATCAGAAATGAACTTAGGACTAGTTATATTAAAATATTTGATAAAGTACCTAATGCCTATTTAACATTAATAAATAGATATTATGACTTCGTATATTATAGTAAATATTAAATTGTAATTAGTAATTACCTTTTTAGTCACGGGGTTAAAATAATTAGTTATTGAAGCTGCAGGACGTTTGTTAGTTGGAGACATTTTACCTTACATACGGACATAGGTACCTCATACAATAAATAGGTTCGTACTCACGTATAGAAATATGGCTTATAAATTATTTAAAATGATAACAATTCATAAGGATATTCAGTGTGTACTGTACACATTAATCATTACACAGCACTATATTGTATAATGATTCTCGAGCGTTCGCTGTTCGGCCACAGGCGACACTTACCCCACCGGTCGTAGAATGTAAATAGTACTATCAACAACAGTCGTAACAATATATTGTACTCGATTATACCACGGTCTTAGGTTAGGTATACGAGTAGGGATACCGCAGGGCTTGAAACCGATTTCAATACCGATTTTTAATACCGGGTTAAACCGTTAAAAACCGAAATCGGAAAAAATTTATACCGGTATCCAAAACCGAAACCGAAATCGGAAAAAATCGATACCGGTATCTGAAACCGACACCGAAAACGGAAAAAATCAATACCGGTTTCCGAAACCGAAATCGAAAAAAGTCAATACCGGTATCCGACACCGAAACCGAAAAACATAAATACCGATATCCAAAACCGAAACCGAAATCGGAAAACATAAATACCGATATCTGAAACCGAAATCGAAATCGGAAAAAATAATACCGTTTTTTGAATCTTAAGAAATAAAATATGATATCCGAAACGGAAGACGAAAAATTATAACATTAATATCTAACATTTAAAAAGCTCTACGCATTTAAAATAAACCTATAGGCTATAATTGAATTTCTGTTTAAAAGCTATGAATAATATAATTTATACTGCATATGGTAGAAAATAATAAATATCGTGTATATTATGTAAATTTGTTCTATCCTTCTATCATACAATGCGATCAATATTAAATATAATATGGAAAATGGGGGAATGGCACGCACCTAAGCTAAAATAATTAGTATGGACTTAAATAAGCAGATATTTAAATAAAATTTTTTTCTCTTGATACATAAACATGGTAGCTATTTAATAAATATTATTTATTTAGTTTACTATTATTTTTTTTTTTTTTAATTGTTTTCCAAAACGTTAAAATGCGTGGTATTACCCGAGTGGTGGGGTAATTCCACGCACGCTTGGGGGAATTCCGCGCAACAATTTTAACATGAAACCACATATGGTAACTATTATTAAAATAAAAAATAGAAAAAATTAATTAATTAATTGTTATAAAATCGTTCAAAACTATTTTTTTTTTTAATACTGTAGGTATAGTGGTATATTAAAATAAAACCTAATTCAAGTGTTGAATACTTTAACAATATAAAATAACAAAAACTTTTAAATCAAAAAATATTCAAAAAAAAACAAGAGGACGCTACACCGGTCATTTTCAGCGGTAAAAACACGTCCACGGAAAACAAACAAAACTGCATCAAAAAGTGATTTTAGAGTAAAAATACTTATTATGAAACTTATAGAGAACAATATTTCGGAGGGAACCTCATCGGTGTTTTTCAAAATATTAACTATTAACAAAGTTACAGTTATTAAAAAAAATTAAAAAAAAAGATTTTTGTGTCTTTGATATCTAGCTGTGTATTTAGATTAATACTAAACCCCGATGAGGTTCCCTCCGAAATATTGTTCTCTATAAAATTTATTATGGGTATTTTTACTCTAAAACCACTTTTTAATGGCTTTTCGTTTGTTTTTCGACAGCATGTTTACGTCGTTAGATTTGACTTTTCATTGCCATCATGTGCTGCCACCTGCCTGCCGTTGTGACGGCGGCCGCGAATTCCCCCACTACGCCTATAAGCTAATGACTGTCTTGTGCGGACGGGGGTCGGTTATCGGCGACGTCAGACGTTTCCGAGAAATAGATTGTGCGCCGATTATAAACCTTACTATTATTATAGTAGGTAATATGGATTATTGACATTATAGAAATGACAATAATGAAGAAATAAAATTATTATAATTAGGCAATCGACAATCATAGACGGCATTCCATCACTGACCGACTGGTTAACTCATTTGATTTGTGTTAAATTATTTTTATAATATAATTACCATAGGTGTAATCTGAGGGGGGGCAAGGGGTTTTACCAAAATTTGCCTCCCTAAAAATTTACCCCAGATTACGCTTATGTTTATACTACGGACATTCTAATATTTTCGGACAGTAGGTAGGTACATCAAACTTTAAAGTATGCATAATTTGTCTAGCAATAATAAATTCTAGTATGTAAAAAAAATCTTGAATCGATATTCAAATTAATTAAAACAATTATTATTATATAAACGTATGACTATTATGGTTTATGACTACCTACCCCAAATAAAATGAGTTATAAGGTATACACACCGTACTTCTTATAAATAATTATTAGTGATTACGAATTAGGACAGCGGAAGTAATAATATCAGACTACTGCCTTAATTCTTAGTATTAGTAATTACAAATTATAAAGCGGAAGTCTAAATATTATTAGACTACAAACAGCTATATTTCCGAGCATTTGTACAAAAATAAATATTCAAGTTATTATAATTTATAATATTCGAATTATCAAAAAGTAAACTTTACGAAAAACAATCATTCCTCCTGGATTGTTCAATGTGATCACACGTCATCCAGTTTTGAATAGTAATAGTGTTACTTTTCTATTATCTACTTATTATATATACAACATATATACAAATTATTATTGCTAATCATGGCAAATAAAAAAAATTTGTTAAAACGAAAACAGTCATCCAAAAAAAAGATCACTAAGACTCTCGCACTACAACGATCTAAAAAAACAAGGTAAGTAGGCACCTAAGTTACATTTAATTTATTTTCAAAATTAAAAAGGTGGGCAAGTGGGTGTCGCTCTGCTGTACAGTAGGTTACAAGTGGGTCACTGTATAATGGATAGTATAACATTTGAATTCAATGATATTATATCATTGTATAAGAAAAACGATTCTGAGCGGAGACGGTAGGTTCTTCTAGGTACAAGACATATTATAAACTTATCTATGGTATTAAAAAAAATTGACCTATAATGAATTCCAAATTAATCATATTACAATATCCATTAGGTACTAAACTTAAGTTTTTTTAACCAACAAATAAAATTTTATTGATACCTATTTCTAGAAAAAAAACTAAAAAAAATGAAAAATGAAAATGTCCCTAAACAGTTCAAAATAAATCAAAATATTTTGAAAATGTTATGGTGTATAGAAAATACAAATATAAACAACCAGTGAATATTTCATGTATCTACGGTCATTTCTTTTAGAGTTACACCAATAACCAAAATCGATTTTTTGGAAAACCAATTTTGCGTAAAAATTCCCTTTTTTCCTTAATTTTTATGTTGTTTTTCCTGGCGCTTGTGAAAACTACTTTATACTCTATTTATACTTTTGACCCCCCAAAGTACCAACTAGATTCACTTTCCTATCAGAAAAGCTACTGATGAAGAAAATCCAAGCACTTTAACTGTCCTAAAACGTGATGACAGACACAAAAATATAAAAAAAAAGGTGGGCAAGTGGGTGTCGCTCTGCTGTACAGTAGGTTACAAGTGGGTCACTGTATAATGGATGATATTAAATTTGAATTCAACGATATAATATCATTGTATAAGAAAAACGATTCTGAGCGGAGACAGTATGTCAGTCTAGGTATAAGACATATTATATACATTATACATATCTATGGTACTAAACCAAAATTTGACCTATAATAGGTAGGTACCTATAATAAATTCCAAAATTAATCATATCAAAATATCCATTAGGTATTTATAACGCGTTATACATCAACAAAACCG